CTGTACTTAGGAAACAGGAGACAGTTTCCATGTAATTGACCATGTCACCTCTAACAATATAGGCAAGGCCAGGCGAAAACATTATAGCCATTATTTTAGTGACAAAAGCATCACATAATATGATGGACTTTCAAGTGATAAAAACAAATTTCTTTTCTTAAGGGAATAAGAATCTGTGATGCTTTTCTTCAAAGATGACTTCGATGCTATAGAACGCTTTGGATGTAGATTTCAACCATTATCAATTTCCATCTACCGTAGCCTTTCGTTTTTCTCATCCGACTTTTATTTTCTCATCATTCTGATTCACGAATGCCATTTGTGGAACTATTTACTATTGAACATGTCTGATGAGTGAATAACGAAAAGAAAAGGGCATGAAAACCAGCCTGGACTAGTAGCTCATTACAGGCTGGGCACTGGGCATGTACCATCACAATTAACCCAAAGAGCGACCTGAAAAGGAGATGCTGTTATTATCCCCATTTCACATGTAAGGAACCTGTTTAAATGCAAGATCCACGTCATAGGTGAGACTGCTGCCCTAAGGCATCTAATTCACACCCTTGTTTACATTAAAAACGTAGGCAAAGGGTAAAGAAAAAAAAAAGGACCTCATATTTCTTGGCATCCAGTACAAAAATCCCCCTAATCACATTCTCCTAGAGAATCAGAATTTTTCCTAAAAACACCTTTCATGCACTTTTGCATGCCAAAGGAATAGTTGCGTAAATGCTAAAACACTACATTACCCTTCCATCATGCTGATGGCGGACAAGGGTAAGTTGCAGAGAGCACTGAAATTTAGATCTGCTTGGGTCTGTCTAGCCCAGTGCATCTGACAGTGCCTGGCAAATAGTACAACCTCAATAATGAAATGAATGTTATCTAAAAAGAGCCTTACCTGCTTGATGAACTCTCTCAGAGTCTTGGTGCTGCTTCAGTAAACCTCTGGACTCAAGGGCTTCCCATCCGACAGTTTGCTGATAAGAAAAACAGACTATGTTGAGAATGACATGCCTCCAGTATGTCTGCCTTTGCTTCCCCATTTTTATATAGTCAAATTACAATTTAATGAGTATATATTTGATCAACTGAATGTAAAGTTTTCAAATAACAGATTGACCAAAATACCTGAAAATAAACAATACTTTTCCTAGAAACTCAGAATTTATTTAAATTTCCTTTTTTTTTTTCATGTTATCGCAAGCTCACAGATTATATTTGTTCTTTCCTGTGGCAAAATCCATTTCTTTAGAGCTAATTTTGAGTTTAATAAGAAGAGTGCTCCAAGTAGCCTAATAATACTAA